ACATTTGACAAACACCTCAAAATATTTGATCTTACACACAAAAACATGGTGAAAGTAGACTCAAGGCTTTCTATTTGATTTGGTGTTTTAATTGTGGCAGTAATGTTGAACACAAAACAAAATCATGGGGTTGCTCAGTGGAGATTATAAAATACTGTCATATGAATGACAACAGAGGAAAACAAAATTACATTCAATTAAGACTGGACACATCAGCGTCATTTAACCAGGAGGACACGATAAAACCAATAACTGTGGAAAGTTCAAAGCGAGAGGCATTACACTCTGACATACTATACACATATAGTACACTGGTGATCTGAGACAAAGACAGAACCACAGCACGTGGTCAATGTAGACACCAATCTTATAATTTAATAAAACTTGTCACATATGATCAGATATTCTAACTTCATTCTTCACATGCAAGGGGAACCAATAAGCATATGAAGATGAACTGAACTACCAATGAGAGTACCATTCTTCTGACTACAAACACCGAGCTATACCACCGCTAACCTCCACACTTCTCTTTTCACTGTATCCAACTTCAACTGATATCCCCTATGAAGAAATTATTTATGCTGATATAAGTATTAAAAAAAAAAAAAAAAAAAGGAAAAAAAAGAACCCAAAAAAGAAAAATAACAGAAGCTGTGCTTCTGGAAATCAGTCTCTGCATGATCCTGGGAGTAAGGAGAGACAGCGAGAGGGAAGTGTTGGACACACATCACATCCTCCTCCACAATATTGCTGGAGTGAGCTGAACGCTGCTGACATACAGCCTCTGCCTTTTTTTCTTTAAACTTCAGGTCTTCGCTCTTCTCTCTTGTCTCTCCTTCCGAGTGACTCTGCTGCCTCTCCAACAGCAGATCTCAGGCTCCTGTCGGCCCTTCCTGCCCCCTCACATCTTGCCGGGTGCAGGAGGCATCATGCCCGGCATCCCACCGGACATTCCAGTGTTAGGCCCCAACAGGATCTAAAGGGGGAAGAATCGATTATTCAGGCCGCACACTGAAATTTCCCAGTAAATGCTTTTCCCCTGAACAACTACCAATTAACGCTCAAGTGCCCCATAACACTCACCTGTCTCTGCTGTTGTAGCTGCTGCTGCTCCAGCTGTAGTCTTTCTGTCTCAAACACAACAGGCAGCACCAGGATCATGAAGGAGGTAGTGCCGACCCAGAGCGCAGAGCGGGAAAAACTGAAACAGCACACCAACCTGATTAGTACCTGCAGTTTAAAATGTGTTATACGGTACCCTTTAGTTACTCTAATACTCCTTTTAGTTAGACTCTAATATGCAAAGACTGGAATAATATTAGTTCACCCCCAGACCCTGTAAGCCGTAGAAAATCCATGGATGGATATTGCATTTTGCTATATGTAAATCTGTGATTTGGTGTTTTTCCTTTCTTTATAATGTTGTAGCATTTACCCAATGCATACTAGAACCAACAGATTTAAGTTAAGAGTTGACTTGATTGGCACGAGCAAAGAATTTGTACCTGTTATATCCTTTACTGCGGCCTCTTAACAAACACATTCGTGCAATTACTAATGAAAAGCAACAGACGGGGAGAGACATACCTGTAGAACTTTTTAATCAATGAGACTGAGCAGTGTGCAGACACCTCTGCAGCTGCGCGCATCGTTTCAGGAAACATCTCAGTCAGGCCCCACAATCTCTCCATCAGCGTCTCATCCAGCTTATGGACGACCACAAAAAGCAAACATTTGAGCCGTGCATTAGAAAATAAAGAAGCATCTCTAATGAGTAAGAACATACAGGAAAATTACCTAACATCTAAGTGGGAACATGAAATACATTCGTGTACAGTGAAACTGGTTTTTAGCTTGCAGCATTGTTAGACAGACCATATACCTCAGGTAGGTAGCTAGCTAGTTAGCTTTGGTGTTGCCCTATTTAGGCAGGGGAACTAACACAGCAAACAAAACAGTGCAACACACTGCTAAAGTCCCATTTTCATTCAATCTTTTTTCAAGAGCCCATGAATAATAAGGGAATTACATCTTCATCTTCGTCGTCGTCAATCTCGTCCTCTGGGGGCCGTACAGACACCGAACTCGTAGCGGGGGACAGTTCCTCGACTCCGGCCATTTTTTCCTTCCTGTTAAATCCGCGACTAAATCAGAACAACGAGAGTCACTGCGGCCAGAACAATGTGTTTCTGAGGTTTTACCTGCTGCTAAAGGTAAAGCTCGGAAGTGTGCTGACTGTCTGAGGTCACAGTGGGAAAACGTGAGACTCAGGGTCGGATGACGACAGGAGGTCAGGGGTCAATTTGTACGTGAAGAGAAACGTAGTGCGCCCCTTGCTGTATGGACTGTCTAATGGCAAGCTCGGGAGTATTACTGCCACTTGCAGGATCAGCCGCTTAGGTTAACTCTGTGAGGTCTAAGTCAAGTCTTTGGTAATCAGGGGACAATAAAAAATAATTATTCTATGTGACTCGCATCAAAAATAAAAAATTTCCAACAATAAATATTTCTTTCATTTCTCCAAAGCACAGGGTTAAGGTGTTGGCTATGGGTGGGGTTATCGATCAATGATGGCAAAGACCTCATTAGGTTATCCTTGTGTTCAGGGGTTAAAGTGAGATTTGGTAACCCTAAGGTCCAATGGAGCGACTCATTTGTGAATACAGTGTGACAAATGCAGCGCATATGCACATCAGACTGTGTGATCAACCTCATCCTCAGTGCGCCAGAGAGGAGGAGATGCTGCTAATGGGGATAATCCCACTTTCCACATCAAAATATTCACAATCATATTTTGAGAGTTTAAAAAACACTGCATTGTTGTCTTAGTGAGCAATGCTGTGATAAGCAATTCTTCTGTGTGTTCTAAACATTTGTGTCATGGTGCTGGGTCTGTGACTCAGTGTTTTGTGTTTTTTAGATGAAGTTATATTCTTTGATTTGTTGTTTTTCATGGTTTATGTTTTCTTTATTGTTTTCTGCTTGTGTTATATTTATAATTCCTAGTGTTTAATTTTCTGTCACTGTGCTTTCCCTGTGTTCCATGGTTAGTTACTCATGTCTCCATGTTTCAGGTTCCCTAGTCAGTCATGTCACTGTGTCAAGTCTGCGTCTTTGTGTATGTCTCTTGTTTCCTGTTTTACTTTGACAGTCTTGTGTCCCATGCTCAGTGTTTTCAATTTTGTTTCCTCCCTGTCTTGTTTTATCAGATTAGTCCCAACTGTGTTTCCTTCCTGTTTCCCATTCCCTTTTTACTCTCTTGTGTATTTAAGCCCTGTGTTTTCCTCTGTACGTTGTTGTGTTGTTACCTTATAAAATGTTTTTATAGCTCAGTAAAGCTGCCTTTTTGTGGTTATTCCTCCGTGTTTGTGAGTCCTGCATTTGGTCCTTCATCCTGTAGCTGCCGCAGCCACACGATAGAACGACGCAGCCATCACACGAACCTAGCAAACAGCCTGAGATGGGGACCTCCCCCGCACCGCGCAACCACCTGCAGGAATGAGCTGCGGGAACCACCAGTGGAACCGCCTGCTCCTGCCATGCTGCCACCTACTCAACCACACCACCGTCTGTGGAACCGCCTGCTCAATCGCCTGCTCAACCGCATGCAGCTGCTGCGGCGCCACCTGCTCTACCATCTGTGGCTGCCGTGCCACTGCTTGCCCAACCGCGCCGCTGCCTGCTGGAACTGCATCTGGACGGCCTGCTCAACCACCTGCAGATGCCGCGCCACCACCTGCTCAACAGCCTGCGGCTGCCACACCACTGCTT